TTTTAGAAAGTGCATAAATGTAAGTTTTTAATTTTAATAGTTATATGTATTTATTTTAATGTGAATTAGAAATAATATAGCTAGCCCATCACACCTGTGACCACAAGTACATTGTTCAAGACTCATTCACTCATTCATTCATTCCACAAACATTTACTGAGGACCTGCCACGAGCCAAGCAGTATTGTAGATGCCGAGGATACAGCAGAAAATAAAATAAAGCCATTGCTCTCATAAATTTGTATTTTAGTGGGAGCAAAACTCAAACAAATAAGTATATCGAATGAATATAAATATATGTTCAAAGCAAAAGGTAGACTAAAAAATAAGAGTTGGGCAGGGGACAGAAACAACAGGGGTGGGGTGGGTACTAGAGTAGATGGTTTGGTCAGGGAAGTCCTCTTAGATAAAGTGACCTTTGAGAGGAGACCTAAATTAGTGAGAATGTATTTCTGCTAATTCTTAATTCCTAATAAGGAAGAACGTTCTAGGCAGAGAGATACCTAATGCAGAGTCCCTGAGGTGGGAACGTGCTTGGTACCTGGTGGAACTGTTCAAAGTTCCAGGGTTGCAGACAAACCCCTGAAGGATAGTGCTTAGTAAAATTAACATAAAATTCAAATACCATAATATTCACCCTTTTAAAGTGTACAATTCAGTGTTTTTTAGTACAAATACAAAGTAGTATTTTTTTAAAGTTTTATTTATTTATTTATTGTGTGTGTGTGTGTGTGTGAGGAAGATCTGCCCTGAGCTAACATCCATGCCAATCTTCCATGCCAATCTTCCTCTTTTTGCTGAGGAAGACTGGCCCTGGGCTAACATCTGTGCCCATCTTCCTCCACTTTATATGGGACGCCGCCACAGCATGGCCTGACAAGCGGTGCGTCGGTGCGCGCCCGGGATCCGAACCAAGGCCGCCAGCAGCGGAGCGCGCGCACTTAACCGCTATGCCACGGGGCCGGCCCCAAAGTAGTATTTTTTTTAAAGTGATGATTTGGTTCTGGTTCTGGCCAAGATGGAGTAACAGGGATCAGACTTACTTTCTCAACTGAAACAACCAAAAAACAGACAAAATATATAAAACTGGTTTTCAAGACACTGGACATCAGGCGATGAAGGATGATGATCCCTGAGAGACGGGATACAAAAGAGGTGAGCCAGCTATGAACGCCAGCTACTGCCTCGAGAGGGCTTCCAGGCCACAGAGCAGAGAGGGGAGACCCAGCGGTAAAGAATGTCATTTTACAATAATAAAAGGGTCAGTTCATCAAGAGGATATAACAGTCCTAAACATTGATGCACCTAATACCGGAGTGTTAAAATACATGCAGCAAAAACTGATAGAACTGAAAGGAAAAAATAGGCAAATCCACAATTATACTTTGAAATTCAATAACTGACAGAAGCAGTAGACAGAAAATCAGTAAGGACATAGAAGACTTAGACAACACTATCAACCAACTTGATCTGACATTCACAGAACACTCCACCCAACAACAGCAAAACACACATTCCTTTCATGTACACATGGGACATTTACCAAGATAGACCATATCCTGGGGCATAAAACAAGCCTCAACAAGTTTTAAAGAATTCAAATAATATACTGTATGTTCTCTGACACAATGAAATTAAAATAGAAATCAATGACAGAAAGATCTCTGGAAAATTCCTAAATACTTGAAAACTAAATGACGTACTTCTAAATAAGCTATGGGTCAAAGAAGATATCAAAAGGGAAATTAGAAAGTATTTCGAACTGAATGAAAATAAAAACACAACATACTAACATTTGTGGGATACAGCTAAATGAGTAGTTAAGGGGAATTTATAGCACCAAATGAATATCTTAGAAAAGAAGAAACGTTCAAATCAATGACATCGCTTCCACTTTTAGAAGTTAGAAAAAGAAGACCAAATTAAATCCAAAGGAGAAAGACAAAAGGAAATAATAAAGATAAGAGTGGAAATCAATGGAAACAAATGGGAAAAATCAATGGACTAAAAAGCTAGTTCTTGTAAAAATCAATGATATTGAGAAATCTCTAACAAGCCTAATTAGGAAAAAAAAAAGACACAAATTACCAATATCAGGAATGAGAGAGGTAACATCACTACAAATTCTACAGATATTAAAAGGATAATAAGAGGATATTATGAACAACTTTATGCCAATAAGTTTGATAACTTTGATGAATTGAACAAATTTTTGGAAGACACAAACTGCCAAAGCTCACTGAAGAATAAATAAATAATGTGAATAGCCCTACAGTCATTAAAGAAATTGAATTTGTAGTTAAAAATCTTCCCACAAAGAGAAGCAACCTAAGTGTCCCTCGACTGACGACTGGATTAAGAAAATGTGGTACAGATATACAACGGAATACTACTCAGCCATAGAAAAAGACAAAATTGTCCCATTTGCAACAACATGGACGGGCCTGGAGGGTATTATGTTAAGTGAAGTAAGCCAGAAGGAGAAAGACAAACACTGTATGATCTCACTCATATGTGGAATATAAACCAACACATGGACAGAGAAAACTGTATTGTGGTTACCAGGGGCAATGGGGATAGGGGGTGGGGAGTGGGCACAAGGGGTGAAGGGAGTCATTTATATGGTGATGGACAAACAAAAATGTACAACCCAAAATTTCACAATGTTAAAAACTATTAAAATATCAATAAAAAAAAAATCTTCCCACAAAGAAAACTCTAGGCTCCCATGTCCTCATAGGTGAATTCTACTAAACATTTAAGGAAGAAATAATACCAATTTTGTCAAACTCTTCTAGAAAACTGAAGAAGAGAGCATACTTCTCAATTGATTCTATAAAGAGAGCATTACTCAGACATTACAAGAAAACTACAGACCAATATCGCTCAAGAACATAGATGCGAAAATTCTAAACAAAATTTTATCAAATCAAAGACAACAACATAGTAAAGGACAAGACATCATGACCAAGTGGGGTTTATCCCAGGGATGCAATGTTGGTTTAACATTAGGAAAATCAATCAATGTAATTTACCATATTAACAAGCTAAAAAAGAAAAATCATATGATTATCTCAGTAGACATAGAAAAAGCATTTGACAAAATCCAACATCCACTCCTGACAAAAACTCTCAGCAAACTAGGAATAGGAAGGAACTTCCTCAACCTGATAAAGGGAATCTATAAAAACCTACAGCTCACATCATACTTAATGCTGAAAGACTGAAAGCTTTCTCCTTAAGATCAAGAACAAGACAAGTATGTCTTCAGTTAGGGAAATAGGCAAGAAAAAGAAATAGAAGCCATCCAGATTGGAAAGGAAGAAGTAAAACTATCTTTACTCACAGACATGATCATTTCTGCAGAAAATTCAACGGAATCTACAAAAAAAGCCACTACAACTAATAAGTGAATTTAGCAAGGTTGCAAGTTACAAGATTAAGATACAAAATTTACTGTATTTCGATATACTAGCAACAAACAATTGAAAACTGAAAAAAAAAATATCATTTGTAATACAGACATAGGTAGTATAAATCTGAAAAAATATGTAAAAGACCTATGCACTCAAAACTACAAGACAATTGATGAGAAAATTAAAGAAGACTTAAATAAATGCAGAGAGAGACTGTGTTCATGCGTTGGAAGGCTTGACACTGTTAGGATATCAATTCTCCTCAAATTGATCTATAGATTCAACACAATCTCAATCAAAATCTAGAATTTTAGAATTTAACTGATTCTGAAATTCATATGGAAGTGCAAAGGACCTAGACTAGCCAAAACAACTTTGAAAAGAACAAAGTCAGGGATTTAACAGTACCTGATTTCAAGATTTATGACAAAGCCACAGTTATCAAGGTAGTGTGGTATTGGTGTTAAGATAGACAGATCAAACAAACAGAATATCTGGACAACCAATTTTCATCAAAGGTACAAAGGCAACTCAGTGGGGAAAGGATAATCTTTTCAACAATTAGTGCTGGAACAGGTGTATATCCACATACAAAAAAATGAACTTTGTTCCATACCTCTCACCATGTACAAAAATTAACTCAGGTAGATCATAAACCTAAATGTAAAACGAAAACCATTAAACTTCTAGAAGAAAACACAGGAGAAAACCTTTGTGACCTTGGGTTAGGCAACGATTTCTTAGACACAACACCAAAAGCACAGTCCATAAGAGAAGAAACTGATAAATCGGACTTCATCAAAATTAAAAACTCGTCTTTGAAAGACACTGCTAAGAGAATGAAAAACAAGCCACAGACTTGGAGTAAATATTTGCAAATCACATATCTGATAGAGGACTTGTATCCCAGTGGTTTTCAAAGCTCCCCACCCAGAATGACATTCTAGGATTAATGGCCTTGTTTAAGAAAGAGCCTCGAGAGTATAAAGTAATCATCAGTAGGAATCTCGAGCGGTGGTTCTCTAACTGCAGCACCACCTGGAGGGCTTGTTAAAACACAGATTGTTGGACCCCACAGAATTTTGGAATCATAGGGCCTGAGGGTTTTCATTTCTGGTAAGTTCCCTGGTGATGCTAATGCTGCTGGCCTGGCTACCACACTTTGAGAACTGCTCATCTAGACCAATTTAGACTAAACTAGAAACACAGCGTCAGATGCAAGATTTTTCCCCCCAAGGGACAATTACCAAATAAACTATGCTTATAAAGAAATAATTTATTTTTCCCTTTTTTATTAGCTAGAGACATCTGTAAATGTTAATCAGAGCTTCTGATCAGCAAGAAATAACACACGTGACATCACTGAGTTGGCATGATTCTAGCCATGCCTCTTTGTGGAATGCACATTTTGGTTTCCACAAAGCTGTTCAGAATTCACCCTGGAAAACATCCACGGCCTTATACCAACCATCCCATAATGGCAACATGAAGGAAACCATCACACCCCGCTGAAGCCTGTCACCTTTCCCTGACCCTCCGAATCTAAGGCCCCAACCCCATGCAGGGCTGCCATCCAGGTCTCACCGTCCAAGATGGCCCATTGATTGTCAATCTCTGTGTGTTTCAGGTAGGAGTCTTCGATGGTGGGGTCGTAGTCAGGCACAAAGATCTTCTGGAAAAACTGGATGGTGAGGGCACTCTTGCCCACGCCCCCATCTCCCACCACCACCAGCTTGTATGTGGGGAGGTTGTCGCTGGGGACAGCACTGGTTGCCATGTTTCTGGTAGGTCAGACCTGGGGAGGCAAGACACGTGGAATGAGGCAGGGGGCTTTGACTTAGAGGAAAATATTCATGGGTTTTCCTCCCTTCTTACAGAGTCATAAATACTCCAAATTATAGAACATTTTGAAAATGAAGAAATGCAAAAGAAAATAAGTGTCATCCCTGGTCCCACCACCCAGAGACAATCACTGTTAAAATGATTTATTCATTTGTTGAATACCAACTATGTGTCAGGGTTGGTCTTGGGGACAGAGTACTACCAGATGCCACATGGTTTCTAACAAGTACAGCCAAAAGCCATGTGCAAGAAGCTTTCCCACCACTCAACTCCGCCCTATTCCTGTACAGGTCAACATGAGGGCCTTAGTCTGAGCAGGGATGGCACAGAGGCTTGCCTTTCACATCAACTCTGTCATTGGACTGCTATGCTGAGAAGGATTTGGGGCTGGCTGAGCTTAAAGGGAAAGAGGGCCACACCTGAGCTCAGGGAATCTGAGGCCCCTTCCAACTCGCAGAATTCTGTGATCCTGGCTCCTTTCCTACGGTCTTCTTGCCCTTTATTATGCTCAAAGTCATGCTAGACTCTCTCGGCATCTGGTCAACCCCTGTTTTAGTTGGGGAGGAGGGGAGGAGCAGGGCTAAGTTTTGTTTGATGATGTTGAGTCCAGCTAAGGCAATGTTTCTCAACCAGGGGCAATTTTGGCCCCCAGGGATATGTGCAACTTCTGGAGATATTTTTGGTTGTCAAAACCAAGTGGGTGCTACTGACATCTAGTCATTGAAGGCCAGGGATGCTGCTAAATATCCTGTAATGCACAGGACAGTCCCCCACAACAAAGAATTAGCCATCCTAAAAGGTCAATAGTGTCAAGGTTGAGAAACCTTGAGCTAAGGTGACCAGGAGGGAGCTGGAAATGCGGGACCAGGATTCTAAAGAATTGGGCCTTAACAGATAAGGACTGATTGTGAAGAGGTGATAGAAGAGAAGGGAAGAGTGACCTTTGGAAATAGCGTCACAAAGTGACAAGGAGGTGAGGCAGGGAGCATGGAAGGAGCACTCAGAAAAACTGGAGGGAAACCAGGATCTGTCATAATGGTGGAAGCCCATGGTTTCCAGAAGGAGGAGGTTGACAGCACCAAATGTTAAACACCAGTGGGGAGGTGGGGTGAGAGTCACCTAAAGAACAATTTGAGGGTTGTTGCCAGGGATCTAAGCTGCTAACGGCGGACCCTGGCAGGCAGAAGCAATACCACCTCTTGGTAGGGCGTTCCTGGTAGTATGAACACTGACCCTGAGCCGAGGGAGCAGAAGCTTGATCCCACCTCAGGGAACGAGAAAAGAAAGAAGCTCTGTGCAAGTCTGGAGGGAGAAAGGCACAGTGTGTGAGTGAGGGGGACTTAAGGACTCATAGAAGGGTTGGAGGCAGCATGCCTGGGAGGACAACAGACTGGGGGTCCTGTGTATATCGCTGCTGCTTGGGAAGGCCACTGACCTCTCTGAACCATAGTTTCCTTACCCATCAGATTAAAAGGGCTGGATTTTTACAGTTATTTTTAGCTCTAAAAGAGTCCTCAATTCTAGATTTCAACAGAAAGGGTGTTACACACAAATGCGGGTGATGTGGCCATACTGATTTGCATGGGGCTACAGGCGAGAGTCATTGCACAATCTCTCGCAGTTACTGAAGCCTGATGTTGACATTTAGGACTTCCCTGCAGTGTGGGGGAGCAGGCGCTCGTATACACCGCGGGTGAGAGTGTAAATCTGTCCCAACTGGACTGAGAAGACACATAAATCTATAAAAATTTAAAATGGACATATCCCCTCTCGAAGCTATACCACATGTGAGAATTTACTCTGAGGAGATAACCAGACAAGTGTACAAAGATGTCCAGAACAGGGGAAAAAATGGAAATAATTTAAATGTTGGGGGGGAGAGTTAAAGAAAAAGCTTATCCATACAATGCAATACTATGCAGCCATTAAAAAGGATGATATTCACTAACCTAGAGAAAGTTTATATTATGTATGAAAAAACCTAAACAGGCTGCCAAACAGCAAGTACATGCGACTGCACTTTCATGAAGTCACCCATCTATGAATCTACATGCCTAGATGTGGTTCTAGGTACAGAGATCATTGGCATGGAGCTGTCTCTGAGGCAGATTCTGGGGGACTTTCTCAATTTTTCAATTTTTTTTGTGTGTGTGTGAGGAAGATCAGCCCTGAGCTAACATCCGATGCCAATCCTCCTCTTTTTCGCTGAGGAAGACTGGCCCTGGGCTAACATCCGTGCCCATCTTCCTCTACTTTATATGGGACGCCACCACAGCATGGCTTGACATGTGGTGCATCGGTGTGCGCCCAGGATCCGAACCTGCGAACCCCGGGCCACCAAAGCGGAGCACGTGCACTAAACCGCTGCGCCACTGGGCCGGCCCCTCAATTTTTCACAAGCATGTATTATATTTGTATATTGGAAAAGCTTAACAATATGAAAATGTTCCTCTCGTTTAGGTGGGGATTTACGCTTCTTTGGTGCAGGATAGAAGGACCAGGCACCAGCTGCAGCCCCAGCATCTGGTTCCCCATCTCCCTACAAAGATGAGGATAAGCTGAGGCTGCAGTGAACTGAGCCCCCCACGTGACAGACATGGTGGTCCAAAGGGGCCAGAGGGGAGTTGGAGGGAAACAGAAATGGGGAGAGGAGGGTCAGGGGCAGCTCCCTCTCTCCTTTGCCTCTCAGGTCAGGGGAGCGTGGTGTCAGCTCCTCACTGCATCTTACCCGCTGTCCTGGCCTGTGGTGGATGGTGACACTGCGCCAGGGTGAACGTGTTTGCCTGTGAAAGAGGCTGTTTTTGACGTTCCCTTCCATTCTCTGCTGGCAGCGACATGAATAAAAAATACTAAGTGTGTGGGAAGGTACTGGGAAGGAAAATTCTTTCTCTTGATTTTCTTCTCAAAATAAAACAAGATAAGAAATATGATAGAGGATGGACTGAACCTTTGAGTCAATGCTCAGACCACCCACAGCAGAATCACCTGGGGACTTGCTAAAACTTGCGAAGCAAGGCAGCTGGCGGGAAACGGTCAGATGAGGGTCCCTTCTGTTCACAGTGCCCTGCACTCAGGGGTTGAGCCCCCAAGAGCCCACAGGGAGCCAGCTCGCGGTTCCCTCCCAACTCAGACTCAATGGAACGGGGTTAGAATGCAAAACTTCTAACCCTATGTTGACACAAAAATTAGACTGTGTCCCTTGTGGTAAAAAACCCTTTAGTGCTGCCCATAGCTGATGGGTCAAGTCCGGGCTCCTTCACCGCGCATTCAGGGCTCTCACTGGCTGCCATTGCTGACCTCTCCAGCGGTAACCGTGCTGCAGCCTCTCACACTCTACTCTCTCGCCCTACCAGCTCTGTGTTCTCCCGGTGTGCCCTGTGGTCACACTGAGTCCTCTGCACACCCCCGGGGCCCCTGGGAGAGCATGCACCTCTTTACAGGTCAGGCCCTGGCCCAGGAATCGCGTCCTATGGGAAGCATCACTTTCTACCCTGTGCCCTGCAGCTGCTGGTGCAGAAGCCACCATCACGCTTGAAATCTTCTACACTTCCTGTGCACAAAAGGGCAGGGACTGCATCTTGTCCCTCTCTGCATCACCAAAGCCTGGTGCAGCATCAGCCAGGAGCAGACACACCTGAAGGAACCGGAGGCTCAATACTAGCATTTCTGAACAACCGTCGGACAAGCTATCAGCCACAGTGCTGGCCCTCCGCATGCCAAGGGCTAAGGGCAACTCTCCCTGGCAGAGTATGGCAGTTCTCCCTCCCTCCACCAAGTCAGGCCAATCACAGAGATAAAAGACCCTTGTGGAAGCAAGTGTGAGCCCAGGGAAAAAAGATATTGCAAAGGCCGGAGAATAAGGCCAGAAAACCCCCCAATTCATAAAGGCTCTCAGCCGGATCTTCTGATGGGCATGTTTTTCCAGTCCTCAACCTCCCCCAGAATAACCCCTGACTAAATGATGTCTTTGTAAATGGGGAGGGCAGTCAAAATGCCAAGGGGCGGGCACCACACTCCTACAAAATAGGCTGGTCCCACCGTGCTATAGAGAAAGATTTTTTTTTCAAAGTCACCACAGGATAAAAAGTTGGTTGGTGGTTAAAGAGCAAACTGCTTACATTCACAACATCCCTCCTCTCTCCAGCCTATTCATTTAGAAGGAACCTTAGAGATGATTCTAGAATATTGGTTCTTCACCATTTGGGAGTCATGGACGGCCCCTTTGAGGTGGGAGGGTGGGATAAGGTGGACATAAGTGCCCTTTAAAGTTTCTCCGCCAATTTTCTGGGCCAGATACTCTCCTACTGACCAACTGAGTGACCCTGGGCAAGTGACCGTTCACAGCCTCAGTTTCTAATTCGTAACATGGGGCTGGTTAGAGAACCATGCTTTGCAGGATTGCTCGAAGCATGAAATTTTTTTTTTTTTAAGATTTTATTTATTTATTTTTCCCCCCAAAGCCCCAGTAGATAGTTGTGTGTCATAGCTGCACATCCTTCTAGTTGCTGTATGTAGGACTCGGCCTCAGCATGGCCGGACAAGCAGCGCATTGGTGCACGCCTGGGATCCGAACCCGGGCACCAGCAGCAGAGCTCGCGCACCCAACCGCCAAGCCCCGGGCCGGCCCTAAGCATGAAATTAAAATCTATGAAAAGTGCCCAGTTTAGAGAAGGTGGTCGAATGTTTGTTCCCTCTCCTTGTTTACTTTGTTCCCATGACAGACAGACAGACACACTCTCCCAGCCTCCTCCCCTCCCCCACGCGAAGCCCCGCTGCCACCTCAGCTCCAGTGCGGTAAGATTAAACAGGCCTGGGGGGACGTCACCCACCACTTAGAGCACTGTTTCCATGGGAAATGGCTCTGAGGTTCCCAACAGCCCCCTCCACTCAGAAACCAACTTTTGGAACCGGAGCCACTGGGCGGCGAAGGCGGAGGTGGTGGAGGCTGGTTCC